GTTCCTTTCTGAGTCTCTACCCCGAGTCCCCTCCCGCCTTCTCTGCCACTTTCTTTCAACCTCCCCAGAGCCAAGTGGAGCATAAGCCATCACGTCACAGCGACACAGCCTGACTCTGCCCCAAGCACCTGGCTCGGATGCAGGTGCGACAGAGGGCGGGTGCTGAACAGCCAGGGGCAGGGCACCCTCTCTCTGCAACTTGGCAAGGTGGCATTGGGCAGTATGGTAGTGACATCCGTTGATGTCCACTTGAAGATAGTAAACGTGCAGGGGGCGGGTATTCAACCTGTCAATCCACAGCCTGATGGTGCCTCCTTGTGGGTGTGGCTTTCTCATAAGGAGGGCCCGTGAACCCCCCACCCCTGCCTCTCTGCCTTCACCTTCCTGCTGGCAGACCCTGGTGGCTGCCCGAACCCTGAGATGTTTCCACGGCCATTGGATCCACATGACTTTGCACCCACCGGCCTGTGATCTTCCTGCATCCTGCATCCCTGCATGTGGTTGCATTAGTCTGAAGAGGGACTTACGGACTAGTATCGGGTTTATGGATCTGAGTTGGACTGGGCTGGGATGTTTTCCTGACAGACCCTGAGTTCTTGATATAAAGTTCTGTCTTACACATAGAGGACACAGAGTCCCTGCCTTTGTTTCCTAGTCAGCCCAGCCTCACACAGGCAGGGCTCTCGTTCACACAGTAGGGACAAGGGGGATGACATGAGATCGCCCAGGAGGGGGTTGGCTCAGGCAGGAGTTTGCTGGAAGCCAGGGACACCAGGGGTGTGTGTTCCAAACGAGGGTCTCAACATGGGGAGCACAGCTAGCCCACCAGCACCTGCTGGGCCAAGGGCAGTGTGTCGCTGTGCCCCTGATTCTTCCTACTTTCCCAGGTCTCTATGGCGAGCACTGCTACCCCGAGTCCCCCGTGGGGAAACTGAGGCAGGGAGGAACAGGAGCTTGGCTAGGGCCAGGGTAAGGGGAGGTGGCTGGTGGAACTGGATGCCTGCCTAAGTGGCAGCTTCCCCCTGCACTCAGGAACCCAGTTTCCTGCCCCATCCGCCCAGCCTCAGCTTGGCCTTCCGGAATGCAGAGAAGGAAAGTTCCAGACCCTCAGCTTAGGCAGCGCAGGACACAGGCAGGTCACCCCACTCACCACCATCTTGTCCGCCTGGAAGCAGCTCTGGTAACAGACGCCTGCCTGGGTGACCAGGACGCCCAGGCCATGGCGCTGGTCAGCCTGCCACATGCCGATGTAGTGCTCGCCCCTGGAGGTGTGGCCAGAGTGGGTCAGGGTCAGCCCCGCGGGCCTGATGCCAGTTCAGGTGGCCCAGGGTGGAGGGCGGAGGGCAGGGAAGGGGCTTTGCCACATCTGAACCCATGTGACTCAGACAGGGGATGAGTGTGGCTGAGACCCCAGGGGGAAGAGGAGGGGGAGATGGGCACCCCAAAGGCTTCCTGGGGGAGGTGGCCAGGAGGACAGTCAAGGGTGCACGTGGGATGATTGCTCACGTGGGCCATGACGTGGAGCAGGGAGGGTGTGAGGCAGATGGGCAGGTCTAGAAAGGCTGGAAGGGTGCATGCAGACCCTTCAGGACTGAGGTCACAGGAATGGCCCCAAGGACCCGGGCTTTGTCTCAAGGCCAAGAGAGCCTACAAGGGCCAAAACCCTTGGAGGGGACCAATTGGCTCAGAGACATGAGTGGGGGCCGGAGGGGAGGGTGAGCACTGCAGGTGGGGAGGCCAGGGCTCCCTCAGTCTGTGCCACAGCTACCAATGAGGGAGTGGAAGGGATGTGGGGAGCCAGAGGGATTCTGGTCCATGGACCACAGGACTCCTGTGGTTATGTATCTGAGGCAAGGGGTTGGTGAGGGTCCTGTCTGCCCCTCAGGCCACCAGAATAGGTCCCTGTCCTCTCAGACCCTGTCACAAGGCCATAGCCCCTCAGTCCCTATTGCAGGGCTATATCCTCTCTGAGCCCAGGACAGGGAGTGGCCCCTCTCTGCTGACTGGGGTGCTGACCTGTCTCTGTCTTCCCCGATGCCGTAGCCGCTCCTCTGCCCGAGCTCCCAGTGACCTGTGTACTTGCAGGGCTGGGAGGCTGTCCGGGCGCTCTCAAAAACCCCAAATCCATGCCGGAGGCCCTCCTGGAAGTAGCCCTTGTAGACATCGCCAGTGCCGTACCTGCAGAGTCCAGAGAGCCGGGCCTGCCTCACAGAATGTGGCCGGAGGACAGGCCCAGCCCAGGACGCAGACCCACCCACCAGGGCACGGCGTCACTTACTCACAGATGCCGTAGCCGCACATGCTGCCCTCCCGCCAGTGGCACTTGTAACAGTCGAACTTGTCCTCAGCGGCCTGGGGCACCAGGCAGATGCCAAAGCTAGCCAGGTGTGGCAGGACAGGGTGGAAGTCATCTCCCTGGCCTGAGATGCCTGTCCCCCCTCCTCCCTGCCACCACAGAAGCCCTGTCCCCAAGGACCCTTCTCAGATGACAGGGCAAACCTCAAAGGTGCTCAGCCCCCCTCTTCTTCCCAAGAGCGCCTCTCAGGATACCCCACCCTTCCTCCTGCCCCCTGGCGACCCCGGGAGCACTTCCTGGGACCTACAGCGCCTCAGTTTGACCCCTTTTGTACAATGAGGGGAGCTGGCCCTGGGGTCTGGGAATTTAGGGTGGGACCAGGCTGGAGCCCACGGCCGGGGAGAGCCAGCCCCCTGTGTGTGCACCTGCTCCGCTCCGGCAGGAGCCCCAGCCTGCCTTACCCATGCTCCAGGCCCTGGGAGAAATTCCCCACGTGGCTCCGCCCATCCGGCCACTTCAGGGTGCCTCTGGAAGACAAGACAAGGTCCCCAGGCGTCAGGCTTTTCAGATCCATGCCTCAGCCCACCAAGGACCCCAGCCAAGCTTAGCCTCGGACTTCCTTAACCTCCTGGACTGGACTCCCTTCTCTTCAGCAAGGCCTGTGTCTCAACCTCAAGCCCCCATGAAGAGCTCTCGACTCAACTCAGCCCACGGCCAGTGAGTCTACTCACTGGGGCTGATTCACTGATACAGTTTTCCGAGGCTTTCAGCTTGACAGGAGCAAAGAGCTTCATGTTGCTCCAGCAGAGCGGCTGGTGGGTTTGAACCACCAACCTTACGGTCTTCTTTACTGCAGCCACTCCAAGTCCATCCACCATACACCACTGGGAAGGCCCTGGAAACACCTAGATCGCCTCCTTTCCCTTGACCAGGAAGAAGCTCAGAGCTCAACTTCAAGCTCCAGTCAAATGCTACCACCCTTATTCCCTCGGGAAAAGCATAATATATAGTTTTCTTTTTATCCACGAACCTTCTCAAGGTATTTCTGGAGGTAAGTATAGGATATCAGAAACTATTATCAGGAGCTTCTTCCGGTCTCTGGGCCACAGTTATTCAGGTGGGGCGTGGAGTGGGCCCTATGGGTCTTTGAAAACCTGCTTCCTTTGTGGGGTTCACGTGTACCCGCCGCCATCAAGGTGGGTGAGCAAGGCTCACCCTCCAACCTGCCTGGAGACCAGGCAAGTCACGCCGGTCTCTGGGCATCAGTTTCCACATCTACGAAACGGAATGCCAACAGGTGCCTCCCCCCACCCCGACCCCGCTGAGGGTCTCCATGAGGATCAATATGTGGAAACCAGACAAAGCTCTGTGTGATCTAGTTACTCTCCATCTGCCTAGCCTGAAGTGGCACCTGCGGGCCCATTCCCTGAGGTGGGCCCCAGGTGTCCTGGCGTCACCGTCCGGAACACTCCCCTGTTGGCAGAACTAGGTAGCACCCAGCTACCATGACTGAAGCGCTGGGTCAAAGAGTCCTGAGAGGAATCCTGATCAAAAGGGAGGAAATCTAGGTCCAAATTCCAAGTGCTTCTTAAACCCAGAATCTCTGGGTCCACAGGGATACAATGAACCCCCGAGACTCTTGTCTTAGGATAACCTTTGAACCCTGAACCAGAAACACCCTCTGAAAGCCTCTTGAAACCAGAGCGACTTGAAAGGTTCGATGAGCGCTTAGATGCAGCTGGCGCGCAGGAAGTGGCTGGTGCTCTGCCGGGCATATCCTCAACCACACAGACAAGTCTTTTTTTTTTTTAGAAAGCACAGGGAGCCCCAGACACTCACTTGCCGTGCGGCCTGCCCCAGCACCACTCGCCCTCGTAGGTGGCCTGGCAGAGCCGGCCCTCCACTTGGAAGGTGTACGCCTCGCAGCGGCAGGCAGGGGGCTCAGGCGGCTCTGGGTCTGCCCCCATCACCGGGAAGTCCTTCTTTCCACACAGGGCTTGGCGCACGGCCTGGGTCACCTTCCTCTGCCAGGCCACCTGGTAGGGACGGGCGAGACACAGGGAGTCACTGGTGCTGGATGCGTCCTTCCAGGAAGGGAGGGGTCAGCCCTGGGTTGCTGAGGGCCGCAGGAGCCTTAGATATGCCACCTGCAGCTTCAGGGCTGTCCAGAGCGGCTGGACAAGCCTACCGGGAGGCGATCAACACAGACCCTCAGCCTGCTTCCTATAGAAAAATGCCCAGTTCTCTACAGCATCCTGATGCCTGGCCCCAGGCTGACCCCTGACCTCAAGCTGACCTAGCCCCTGCCCCAAGGCCAGCCGCTGACCCCAGGAGGACCACTGGCTCACACTGACCATGCCCCCAGAGTCCTGTCAGCCTCTCTCCCTGCACTCCCATAGAGCCCCCCACACCCCCCAGCGTCCCAGGATACCAACACTCCAGCCCTGGCCCCTTCCCTCCCTCTCCCATTTCACAGTCTCCTCACTCACCTGGCCCTGCGGGTTCTTGGCACAGAAGGAGAACTCCTCTTCAGGTGTGAGCACGTGCAATGTGTCCCTAGACAGACATGGAAGAGTTGACCCAGCTCCTGTGCAGGAGGGGGTGGGGAGGGGCCCAGGGGTGGGATGGAGGCAGCAAGGAACCCAGGGTGACCAGGGAGGGGGCTGCTCACCTGTCCTGCCCAGGATCCACCCACACCAGCTTCAGATCAAAGGTGTGGACATGATGGCCCTAGAAGAGGTCGGGGCACAGGTGACTTCTGGATCCCCAGCCAGATGTTCGCCTAGACCTGGGGCCCAGGCTGGCCCCCAAGCACCAGCTCCACCAGCACCCCCTGAGAATCCCCCAGGCTGCTCAGGCCAGCATCCCACCACCGAGTGCCTCCCAGAGAGTCCCTACATCACCTGCTCCTAGTCTCTGGGTGGGGCAGCTGCTCCCCTCCCCTCCCACCCAAGGCCAAGAACCAGGTCAAAGTGCCCTTCCTGTCTTCAATCCTGCTGGCCGCCTCTCTAGGGCTCCTAGCACCTGGCAGATGGAGCCTCACATTCAAGGCCCCCACGGGCCACTCCGCCCACGTATCCATACCCCACACCCCCGACCAGCTGCTGCACACCTGTGCACACCTGCCCACAACTCCCTGGCCCTTTGCTCATCCTCACCTTCTAGTGGGAGCATCACCCCTGTCCCAAGAGCCATCACCATCCTCTCCCCAGGGGTGACCCTGGTTGCCCAGCCTAGGCTGGCTAGCTGCTGCCCCACGGGCACAGAAGGCTTTGGGGGGAAGTATCAGACTTAGGCCTGGAGATGACGAGGAGCTGGGCAGAGTCAGACCAGGAGCAAGGGGGCCCAGGCAGAGAGAAGTGTGCATGGAGACAGGAGCCTGGGCTGGGCAGGGCTTCCCTGCTGGGCTGTCGCGCATTCCACTGGGTCAATTTGGCTGGGCCATGGTTGTGGTCCGATGTCATGATCCTGCATGCATTGTCAACCTTAACCTCTATGTGCGGAGGAGGCAAGATCAGTATGGGGCATTGCCTGGGGTCTGAGGAGTCGCTGCTATGGTCTGATTGTCTTACAAATAAACACCACCACCAAAAAAAACCCCAAACTCACAGTTTGCAAAGAAACAACCAAACTTAATTCTGCCTCAGGGCAACCCTCTAGGGCAGGGCAGGAAGCCCACGGGGGTTTTCCAAGACTGTACATCTTTCCTCCGGGAGAGGAAAGAAAGCCCTCTCCTTCTCCCATGGAAGGGCTGGTGGTTTTGAACTGCTGACCTTCTGGGTAGCAGCCCAACGAATAACCACTACACCAAGCAGAAAGACATAAGCAGAGAGGAGAGGGGCCTCTCGAGCACCGCGAGAGAGCCAAGAGCAGAGCTCATCCTTGGCACCCAGGGGTCCTGTGTTGAGAACCTCCTAGATCCAGGACAAGCTTGATGCCCAAACCCACGGAGATCTCCAGGGAATGCTGGGCCCACCGATATTAAAAGAAGACGAGGATTCCCTGAAAGCCTTCCCCTAGAGCCAGCCCCCTGGATTCAGATTCCCAGCCTCCTAAACTGTGGGAGTCCAGGTGTCTGTGTAGAAGGCACCCACTTGATTTCATGAAGCACAGGATAACTACGGCAGAAGTGGGCACTACCACCCCTCCCCAGACTCAGTCTCCTCATGTGCAATGTAAGGGACTTCCAGGCTGGCCTTCTGCCTGGGCAGAGAACACGGTGCTGTGAACACCACAGAGGGAGTGAGGCCCAGGGTGGGCAGAGTCTGAGCACAGTCCCTGCCCCCCCACCCCATACCCCCCACACCCCCAGGCCAGGCTCCCTCCTGCTTGGTAATGCCGAGGTGCCGACTCCACAAGGCACTTCTCTCTGGGAGCTCTGCGCCTGCCTGCCTGCCTGCAGGCCACCTGTGCCTTCCTGTCTGAAGAAGAAGGGGCTGATGGGCCACGGAGGCCCAGCATGCACCTGTAGAACAAGCGCACTCACAACGACCAATGAGGAACGGAGGCAGCCACACGGAACCAAGAACACGTGTAGCCGGGGAGGGCTGCCATCAGGGTGCATCTCAGGTTGCCCTTCCAGCAGCACTGCCAGGAAGGGCCTGTGGGCGACAGCCCCGCGCTGGCCACAGGTCCTGGTGGACTGCCCCCTGGGCCCCAGCACTTGGCCTTGGTGTCCCCACCAGCGCCCCGAGGCAGGCTCCTGCTCCCAGCCCCACAGACCTGCAGCAGCACAAGGCTGTCTCGGAACAGCAGCACGCGATCTGCCCGCAGCGGGGAGACCGTCACAGGGATGTCCCTGCTGTCCTGCAGGAGCCGCCGGTCAGCCGGGTTGCAGAGCTCATCCTGGAGGGGGGGTGGGGGGTGAGGGAAGTAGTAGGGAGGCAGTGCTCAGGCAGCTGCTGCGCCACCTGCCCGGGAGGTTGAGGTACCTCCTGGAGGCTCCTTCAGAGAAAGCCCAACCCCCTGCCGGGTCAGTGGGAAGCACAGGCCTTAAGACATGGGTCTGTGGTCTGGGTGCAGGGTGGGGGTGGGGGTTGGGGGGAACTCATTCTTGGCCACCCCCAGCAGGGTAGCACCCATTCTCTCTTGAAGCTTCACCCAGCCTTCTGCACCCAGCCCCTCACTCCCACGCCACGCCCCTAGCCACACCCCCAGGAATGCTCACCTTTCAACCTGTCCTCCCTACTTCTCTACCCTGAGCCTCTACTGCCCTCTTGGGGCACGGAAGCCTCCTGTCCTGCAGGGGGGACACAGGCCACAGTAGACAGGGGCAGCCCACCCCACCCCAGTGGGAGCCTCAGGAGAGAGGGCCAGTCTGGCTGACCGCTGTTTCCCCCGAGCTAGACAGTGCCTGACTCGGGAGGCGCTCGGGAAGGCCACCGGAGGACAAGTCCAAGCACCCGGAGGGGGAAGCTGAGGCACAGAGAGTAAAGCAAGGAGCTGGGGCTACCCAGAAGCCCATGGGCAACGCGGGCCCCCCTTCTACGGGCCCCACGCTCACCCTCAGCCGGCTGCTCAGGGTGGGCCAGAGGGCCTCCGTGGCCATTGCCTCGTCCAGCGCCTGGCTCATGAAGGACTGCAGGTTCCCAAAGAGGGTGGCTGCGTGTACCACCAGCTTCCGGGTGGGGTGATTCTGCTCGGGGCAGGCAGCCAGTGAGTCTGTACCCTCTGCTGGCTGCCCCTGCCCTGTCTGGGTCAGGGAGCTTCAGGCGAGACCAACGGTAACCCCTCTCTGGTTAATAACCCTGTGGGGAAGTTCTACCCTGTGTTAGAGGCTCCAAGAAGGGGTCCTGATGGTAGTGGGCTGCCAGGCTGCTAACCACAAGGTCAGCAGTTCAGACCCACGCGTGGCTACTCATGAGAAAGATGAGGCTTTACACTCCCATCAAGATTTGCAGCCTCGAAGACCCACAGGGCCAGCATTACCCTGTCCACAGGTCGTCGTGAGCCAGAATGAACTTTGGTTTCCTTTCTCCAGCGAAGGGGTGGGGCTTCCTCGGGGCGTCAGGACTCTCAGATGGGGCAGAGCACTGACCCACGAAGACCCCTGAGCAGACATGACCCCCTCTGACCCTCAGGACAAGGCCAGGTCCCCTCGGGCTCCCCTGTGTAGGTTTATAGCCTTTTCCGGCTCAAAGCAGGGCTATAACCCTTAAGAGGCACCGTGCCCCCTGGTACCCACCTCCCTGATGGTGTCCCCGAGGCTCAGCAGGAGGAACACATACTGCTGCACGTGATGGGTGAGGGGCTGGCGGAGGCTCTGGACCAGCACGGGGCCCACTGCGCCCTCGAGGCTCACGGAGCCCATGGCCCACAGGAACTGCTGCAGCACCTTCCGCTGGTCTCGCCAGTGCGCGCTGAGGGAGGGTCCACACGTCACCTTTGCTCCCTGCCTAACCCCTCAGGGCCCAGGCCCCAGAGCCAGCACAGGGATGGAGTTGCCCCCGGGGACACTGAGTGGTGAGGTCTCTGAGTCTAGGGGATGCAGTGGGAGACACCCTCCTTCCCTGCCCCCCAGCATCTGGACCACTGCATCCTGCCCTCAGCCTCAGGAAACGTCTCCTCTTCCTCTTCCTATGGAAGAGAGCTCTCAGGGCTCCCATCAGGGTTCTCAGACAGAGCCCGAAGTACTCCAGGCCTTCTCTGGGGACTGGGCTTCCCAGACACACACACACAGACATACACACGCGCACACATCCACACATATGCACACAGAGACAGACACACACATACACATACATGTACACACACATGCATACACAGAGACACATGCATACTCATATATACATACACAGAGACAGATGCGCGCACACAGAGACATACACGCACACACATGCACACATATGTACACAGACACACACAAATATATATATATGTACATAAATACACATGCATACACACATATCCATACACACACATAGAGACAGATGCACACAGGCACACACAAAGACAGGGATAGACACACAGACACACACACATACACAAAACACAGAGAGACAGACATACACACATACACATACACAGATATACATGCATACACACACATACAGACACATACACAGAGAGACAGACACATACACACATAGACACGCATATAGACCCACAGAGACAGATGCACACATACACACAGAGAGACAGACACACATGGACACACACAGACACACAGACACATACATACACACACAGACACAGAGACACACATATATATACACAGAGACAGACGCACACAGATACACAGACACACACACACATACAAATACACAAAGAGACAGGCAGACAGACACAGACACAGAGACACGCACAGCCATACTTCGGGGCCACTGAGGGACCCCACGCTCACCTCCTCTGCTTTGCTGCCCCCTGAAAGGCCCGCGCCACCATGCAGTTTGTGTAGGACTCGATGTACCTGTGGGCATCACCAAGGAACATACCTCTGAAGCCCCGCCCTTTCCCCACCCTGAGCACTGAGCCCCCGGGGAACAAGACACTGCCTGGTGACCAGGTTGGCTTGAGCCCTACCCCAACTTGGCAGTGCCAACTACAAAGTCTCCCTTCCCTGGAGGGCCCAGGGAGGGGGGGCGCAGCTTGTGGGTCTGCGATGACTCAGCCCACCACCAAGCTGACCCCTAACCTCCGGGCGGGGCCAACGCCTGGCAAACCTGACCCCAAGATGAGTTCCCCTGCTGAGACCATCCCAGGCCCCTCCACCCGCCATTGAACCCTGACCTGGGCCTAAGTCCTGACCCAGCTGAGTGCCAACCCCAGGTGAACCCTAATGCCAAGTGAAGCCCTGATGCCAAGGGCAAACCCCAGGCCCGCCTGGCCAGCCTTACTCGATGTGGACCTGCAGGACACGCTCTGCACCATGAAGCAGCAGGAGGGACTCCAGCCCCACGGAGTCGGGGTGGTGCAGCCTCTCCCGCAGAGAGTGCCGGCTCTCCTCAGTCACCTTCCACAGCCGCTGGGAGCTCTGGTGCAGCTGCTGGAGGAGCTGCAGGCACTCTCGGGTCCAGGCATCCGAGGGCTCTGGGGCAGGAGGCGGGGGCACAGCCACGGATCAGGAAGGAGCATGGGCTGGGGGTGGGGTGGGATATGGGGGGACACCAGCACCCCACAGTCCTGGGACCCCAGCCTGTACCCCTGGAATCCTTGGAAAGGGTTAGAAGCAAATAAAAGCATGTATGTCCCCCGGAGCTTTTCAGGGGACGGGCAGGCTGGAGCAGCGGGGTAAGAAGAGGCAAGAGTCAGCCTCTCCACTAAGCAGGGCCAGTGCTGACCATCCTGAGCAGCGCAGCGGATGAAGCACACACCACAAATACCCTGCCCACCACCATCACCACTTAGGCCAAGGGGTTTCTTGACCCTAGACTCCTAAGAAGGTGACCTGGTGGCTCAGTGAGTTAAGCCAGGACCTCGGACCACGAGGGTGTCAGTTCAAACCCGCCAGCTGCTCTTTGGGAGAAGGATGAGTCCATCCGCTCCCATCCAGACAGACAGTCTCAAGAACCTACGGAGCAGCTTGGCCCTGTCGCTCTGAGTTGGAATCAACGCAGTGGCAGTGTTTTGGGGGCTGGACACCTAAGATCCTGCTGGGCCCACAGGGACAGTCAGCCCTCTGCCACATCTGGGGTATAAGCAGAGGCCCAGGATTCAGGCACCTGCCCCTTCCAACTGTATGTCCATGCTGGAAGCATGACTTAGGCCACCTGCCTTCCAGTCAGGCTTGTGTCAAGGCACCACCAAATGCCAGGGCAGTGCAGGGAACAAGATGAAAACTCAGGCCGAGGGTCAAATCCAGGCCTGTGACCAGGCAAGGTGGACTGTGGTCTCGGTCAGGTCTGGGCTGGGCTGTGGGTTCAAGGGGCCCTTGGAGGAGAGAGCAGCCAACAGTGGGTACAGGGGCCCCTGTACCATCAGAGGACACCAATGCCAGCTATCACCACCAGATATTGAGAAAGCCTCAACTTCTCAGGAGGCTAGCAACCTGTCCAAGGTACGCAGCAGGCTGGGACTCCTGGCCCTGGACTGCTGCTGGACCCCCACCCTCCCCAAGGGAGAGCCTGCACTCACCGGTCAAGAGCAGGGGCTGGAGGACCAGGCTGTTGATGTGGGCGAGGGCAGCAGAGAAGACCTCCTCTAGCCGCAGCAAGGATGCTTCCTCGGAGCTACACATGACCAGGGCGCCAGGTGCAAGGCCTCCTGGATGGGTACTGGGTTAGAGGCAGACAGCAGGGTCAGCACCATCCTTTCCAGGGCAGGTGCCCAGAAGCAAGGTCCATGACCGCCCCAAGTCAGAACAACTGAATGAGCGTAGGATGTCTCAAGGGGAAGCCTCAGAACTAGTCCCTGACTGCCCCCCGCCCCCTGCCCTGCACCACCACCGTCTTGCTCTCCACCTAGACCAGCTGAGGGAGTGGGAGGCACACAGCTGCTCATTTAATCCAGTTCTGGTCTGCTTACTGTTCTACTCAGACACCTCCCATGGCTCCCCAGTGCCCAGAGAAATAGCTAGTGGTGTAACCCCCCTCCCCATCAAGCCTCTGCTCAGCTTCTGCAGTCTCTGGAGACAGGGCTATGTGGTCAGAGGGGCAAGTCCTCCCCCCGGCTGTGGCTCTGGGCTCCTTGTCACCCAACAAACAGAACTATATCAACAAGGGGAGAGGTTGGGGAGGGGGTACCTGGAGGCTTCCTGCTGGGTGTGGAAGACAGGTAAGAAACACAAGGGCAGGAAGGAGGCCCCAGCACAGGGGTAGGGACCCTGAGAGGAAATGGCCCAGCCTATGGGCTAAGCTCCCCATGCAGCACCCCGCAGGGAGTCATGGAAGACTATTGAGTAAAGCAGTAGTTGGGTCCCAAACTGGGACTGGTGACAGGTACAGAGAAGTTGGCAGAGCAGGAAGAGGGAGAGGCCAGCACGGGGTAAGCTTAGACACCCCCCCATGCCCACTGCCAACCTGGCTGAACCTCCACAGGTGGGGGGTCCCTAGGGCTGGGCAGGTGGGCTAGAGCCTGTGGATTTCCTGGCCTGGAGTGAGAGAACCTTTGAGCAGGCAGGGACCACTTGGGGAGGAGCTGCCAGGGTCCTGAGTTCAAACCTGCCCAGACCTCCAGGGGTGAGAGCCAGAGTCTTTCCTCCCACATCCCCAGGCTTCCTGTCTCTCTGGCTCTGGGGCTGGTATGGGGGCAGGGGGCGACATTGGGGCAGCCTAGGCCAGACCCTGAGCAGGAGCAGATGACACAAGCAGACCTCGCCCAATAAGGTCGCCTGAACCCATAAAGCATCTAGATCCCTGGCAGAAACTATGCCATCCTGGGAATTGTGTCTGGGGCCCAGCAGGCTGAGAAGAGTGTCTCAGGATTCTGGCCAGGCATTCCTGCCCCACCTTTCCTGCTACTGCCTCAGAGGAGGGTGAGGCCTAGGAGGAGGGAGAGGCAGGAAGGAGACTGGGCCGGAAGCTCAGCTTCTCTCTCGGCAGGAGGCTGAGGCAGCCGCAGCCCCTGGGGAGGCAGGGGGCTTCGGGTCAGCCCAGACAGGCCAGGAAGAGTCCAGTGGAAGGGGCAGGGGTGGGACAAGTATGGCTGGGGCCCAGCTGACCCTCACCTAGAAAGGTCCCTGGAGGCTGATCTTTTTCCACTTTAGCTGACAGTCAGCCAGAGGTCTGGTGCGCAGAAGCAAGGACACCCAGAGCAGGCCAGGCATGGGGGGCAGCCAGGATGGGAAGGGTTGGGTCCAGACCGGGGTGAGGAGAAAAGAAACTGCAATAAACAGCTGGCCAGGTGGGAGGCCGTGAATCCCGGCACCCTTCCACCCTCTTACCCCACTGCAGCCAGCAGGACATTCCAGGCAGGGAGGTGTCTCTGCCCCTGGCAACTCTCTGCCCCTTCTCCCGGAGTGGGGGTAGGGGGCTCGTCCCTGCTCAGTTCTGTCCCCATAGCCGCCTGCAGCTATTGTCCTAGGCACAACTTCTGACACCCCCTCTTCCCCCGACAGCCCCTCAGCCCTGGCCCTGGCTGGGTTACCCAGTCTGAACATCCTCGGCCGCACCTAACTTCTCTATGAGGGGGTCCCAGCTTGAGCAGAGTGTCCTGGACTATTTTAGTCCCCCTCAAAAGGACAAAGTGCCAAAGGGGCATTGCTCTGGGTGGGGGGTCTGATCCTCAGAGCCTCCTCTACCCTCAAAGTGGCCCTGCTGCCCCTCTGGGTGAGTCACACAGGCACGGTTTAGCAGCTACTACTTTGAGGCTCTTCCAGGTCTGTGGGCCAACGGGAAACTGAGTCACACTGCTCGGTGGAAAAGCCAGATGTGTAGCGTGTCTCTGGGGTGGGGGCAAGGGGCAGAGGAAGAAAGAAGGCTGTGGACTGGGCTGGGCAGACACTTCTAGGGGTCCGAAGGAGCTCTGCTCCAGGCTAGGGTGTTGGGGCTTCATTCTGGAGGTGATAGGAAGACAATCAGGGTGGGGACAAGGCCCCAGATAGGACCTAAGTGTATGTATTGGATGGCAGGTGCTGACACTTCATATGAGAGGGGCCCAACTCCTAGTCCCACTGCCCCATGCAGACCCCTCTGGTCAGGGGCATCCTCTGTCCAGGCCTCAAAGGTTCCTTCATGCAAGCTGCACACGATATACATATGGGGAAACTGAGGCCCAGGCGGCCAGGAGAGCCTGGAGACACGGCAGAGCAAGCACAGGGCTTAAGCCCTGGCCTATGGCTCCAGCCTCACCAAGCTCATGCCAACTCCGTGGCTCTGAGAGGCTGAGCGTCCCACCTGAGGGCACACAGCAGTTCCTGACAGCTTCCAGACACCTACCTTGTCTGTAGGTGGCCTTGAAGCTCACCAGGGGTGGGGTGAGGACAGCCCTGGCCAGTCTTGGCGTGCCCAAGTGAGTCAGTCAGGTGTCTGTCAGACCAGCTCTTGTGCCTGCATTCCTGGTGCCCCCTGGGGAAGGTCACTGAGGCTTTCCTCTGACCTGTCCACTCAGGCACCTGGGCCGCACCCTGTCACGGCCTTCACTCTGGTATTTCCTGGTCTGACCCCGCCAGGAAGCTGTTTGCAATGGAGCTTTCTCCAGGGCTGCCCTGGAGGCTGCTGGGTCAAGGGGCTTTGGGACAAGGGCTGAGTGGTCAGAGCTGAGCCCTCAGGGTCCCCAGCTGGCTCCGCCCCCCGCACCTTTGTGGTCAGGTTCCCTGCTGCTGGCCCTCGGCGCCCGCAGCCCACCTCCAACTCTGGGACCTCCCAGCTGTCCCGCCCCTCCCGGCCCGGCCCACGCGGGCGGCTCCCAGAGCAGCGATCCTGTTTCAGCCGCCACCCTTCGGCGCCCGCGGCTCACTTCGGGCACCACCGGGTTCCAGCCCGAGCGCCCTGCCAGGCGCGGCGTCCGTCACCACCTCTTGACAGCCCGGCAGGCTGGGCGACACCCCGCAGCAGCGTGCCAGCCACGACCCCGGCTGCTGCCCCTAAGCCTGAGCCGGTGGCTGGGTGGTGCCCGAAGGCTGGGTGGTGCCTGCTGTGAACGCCCATTCTGTGGGGGCCCCCAGGGGCTCTTCGGACGGCCGGGCGTGAGTCCCGCAAGGGACCCAAGAGTCCGGGAGGGACGAGGACGCGGCGGTCCGAGAGCCCCGGGGCCGAGTGGGGGGCACGCAGAGCGAGAGAGCCCGCCCCGAGACGCGCCCCCTCCATCCCGCTCTTACCTGAGCGGCGAGGGTGCCCCGCCGGGTGCCTGGTGCGGCTCCTCGCTGGCCGCCGCCCCTCCTCCTCCCCGCCCTCCGCGCCCCCCCGCCCCCCACGTCCCAGCGCCGGCCCCGCCCCCGGAGGTGCAGCGGGGCGTGGACAACCGGCGGAGGGCCGGCCTTGGAGGGGGCGGGCCGCGGGGCCAGGCTGCGCCCACGCCGGCCGCGTCGCCCAAGGCCCCCCTGGGACCCAGCGGCGGGGCGAGGGTATTTCGGAGGCCGGACCCCTCGGCCCAGCACCGCACGCAGTCTGTCGCCTCGGCCGCCTCGCTTCCCCTACGCGGGTCCCGAGGAGAGGGGGCGTGTCTGGAAGGCGGCCCCACCCCACCCAGTTCCTTGCGCCCCCCTCGATCTCCGCCCCGGTGGGCCTCCCCGCACCGGGCCTCCGGAGCGCTGGGTGGCTTAGCGAAGCGTGGAGCTAGCTGATCGAGGGTAGACCGCCGCCCCTCCGGTCGGGGTGACCTTGGGGAGACCGAGTCCCCCACCCCCATTCCCGAGTCCCAGCACGGCCCAGTGGACCGTGAAGCCCGCGGGTTTCTGCGCCAGGGCCCGCGACCTTAGAAGGGTAGCTGAAGACTATTCGGCACCTCCCGGGAGGGGGAGGGACCTCGGCTCAAGCCGCGGACAAAGAAGCCCGCTGTCTGTCGCCCGATCCCCTTCTGGCCCACAGTCCAGTCCCCCATCACTTCCCGTGGCAGGCAGGAGCCAGGGGGGTCGCCGCTGCCTCTCTCCTGGCTGACGGCACTGAGGCATAGAGGTCTAGGTTCACAGGAGTTGGGGGGCGGTGCGAGAGCAGAAAAGGCCCTTGCTCAAGTCCAAGGCCACCCTCATCCTGCCCGCCCTGAAGAAGGATCTCAACCGTTGTAATGGGGGCCTGGGGCTTGCCAGGCTCGACCCCCTCGGATGAGCCTCAGGTTCCGGTGACTGTTAGATACTACCCCTTCTTCCCTCTCCCCTTCTTCAGACACCAAGCTGGCACCTGGCCTAGTTTGAAGGTCCCCTTTCCAATCTCAGACTCCCTACCCCAGCCAGCACCCCAAGGGAGTGCTCACTCCCCAAAGTCCCCTCACCTCCACCCCTGGAGCCTGCTGCCGGCCCCCTAGCCTAAAAACCCACCCCTCAAGGGGGATGGCTCCACACACAGACATGCCCCTGTCTTTGCCAGCCTATCCTGAGACTGGGCAGCCTTTCCTTCCCACCTCCCTAGCTCCTCCCACTCCTACTTTAGTTTGCCTTCAGGGACTGCCTCTCACCCCCTGACCCCTAACACCTCATCTGCATCCCACATTAGCCCCTCCTTCCCAGCTGATGCCCCCCATGGTCTGTGTGATGGCGCCCACCCTGGCCTGTGGACACTGGATTTCCCTGTGGCCAAGCAGGGCACAGCCAAGCAGGGCCACCAGCAGGCACCAGAGCAGAACCATGAAACGCAGGCTTTAGGTGCTAGAGAGGCATCCAGGGTCTTCCCTTGCCGGGACCCCTGTGTTGTGCTCTGCACGGCAGAGCATGCTGGAAAGGGGCCTGGTGGGGAAACTGGTGGGGCTTCTTCTTGCAGTGTGACCCTGAGGAAGTGTGCAGCCTCTCTGAGACTTAGTGTCTCTGCTGATGAGAGGGCCGTGGCAGTGCCTTCCCCACAGGGGTTAAATGGGGCTCTGGAGGGGTGGGGAGGCAAAGTCTCCCTGGGTCCAAGAGACTCCTTCAAGGATGAACAGGATCTCGACAGGTCATTTGGGCCCCTGAGACACGGTGTGGGTGGGGGCAGGGGTGAAGAAGGGGGTCCCTGGGCTTGGGAGGGAAGGCCAAGGGCGGGAGGATGACCAGGAGTCTATGCACAAACAGGGGCCCTGAGCAGGTGGGCTCTGATCCTGAGGGGTCAGCCTGTCACTGAGGGAAGGCAGTGCTTCCTTCAGGCAGGAAGGGAGGGCTCCCTCAGCTTCCTCCCTAGAGCCCTGACTTCCTGTTGGGTGACGTCCAGGGAAATTGGAAAGCTGTCCGAGTTCTGGGCTGGGGGCCAGTCATGCCCCACCCACTCCCCATCGCTGGGCAACATCACGGGCAATGCCAAACCCGTTTTGTCATCTGCCAGATGGGGTGAAAACTGCCCAGCCTCTTTTTCAGCTGGTTCTTGGCTTGGAGCCAGCTGGACCCTCGGTGGG